GGGTTTAGGGTTCAGGGTTTGGTTGATATGTGTAGATAATGTTTCACCAGCAAGATTTTAGGGGTTAGGGCTTTATTTTTGCCGGAACTGTGCCCTCATTGCTGCAGCTCTCGATGCCAGTGATTACAACCGGTTCTCGTAGTTGTTCTAAGCAATGCTGAGCTTCTGAATGTTAATACTCACTGTTCAAATGCCTGTACACACATACTTCTGCGTACAGCTACTTCTGTCCGTGATTATGACAACATGCAATATTGGGGCCTCAATTATTCGAACTGGTTTGGGTGGAATAATGCGATACTTACAGTAAGGAACTCTAGGGAGAGGGAGTAGTATAGGGGCCTTATCAAGACGAATGGGGTTTTGCGGTATATACCACAATAATAAGGAGCCACCAGAATAGTGTTGGTAATTATCCAGGCCTCCACATTAGTATCACTAAGTACTTCGGCAGATGTGTTGTGGCTGTATTCCAATCAAGCCCAGGCTCTGACGACGCATTCGCGGCCGGAGCCTGGCGATGTGTTCGGGCTCTGGGCATTCATTCGTCGCAGCTGGAAGGTTTAGAGCCTCGAAGTTTGATGCCTTTGGAGGCTATGAGGGGTTGTCGTTCTAGGGCACTAGTACCGGGTGTCCCTATCCAACTTGAGCCAAAAAACGACTTGGAACACATGCGCACATCTCCTCTACCCCGACGGGTTTTTAGTCGTAGAGCTGTTCTACATTAAGCTGTCGTCTGAAGGACCTTCGTTGCGAAACTGCCTACTTGCAGGGCCGAGGCATTATTTGCCCTTGTAAGCTTCTTGCGGAATTTCTAACTAAGTCTGAAACGATTCTGCCTATCCCTCTTGTTGGCTACCCATACTTACTAGTCGGACTAAAGGAAAAGAGCCCAAAAGATGTAGGTAAGGAGAAGGTCTATGACAGGCCTTCAACGCAATACGAAGGTAGGTGGGCCCTTGTGCTGGAGAACTTGTTTGGGATTCCTCGACCTACCCTCGGAGCCCGCAGTTTAGAAACGGCCAACTTGAGCTGGGGGAAAGCAGGAGTAGGGGGCTTTATAATTGGAGTAGGGTTTTGGGGCCCATATACTATAACTACTGTAACTATAATAAGGACCCCCAAAACAGTATAGGTAATTGTTTAGGCCTCTTTTTTACCCTCACGTGATTTCAAGCTCTACAATGACAAGCCGCTAGGATCCTCTTGGTCAAATGCCCTTCGGGCCGTAATGTAGGGGCCTTAAGAATTAGAACAGGGTTTTGGTGCCCATTATACAACAATTATAATAAGGAACCCCCAATATAATGCGGGTAATGATTTAGGGGTCCTTGACCCCGAAACCTGCTAAATCTTCTCCTCGCGAGACAGCCAGCTTGGGAAGCCAAGTCATAAACCATGATGGAACGCCTGAACCCTGCACTGTACCCTAGTACTTTACACCCTAAACGGCCCTAAACCCTAAACCCTGAGCCCCGCAAGCATCAACCCATGACAATGGACACCGCTTTTATCAGCCTGGAATCCTTCACCAAGTTGCTGAGTTCCGAGTTACGCAAGCCAAAAAGGTTGCAAGTAGCACCAGCTTGCTTCATGGCACTTTCGGATACCCCAAACCGTGAACCCTGAACCCTGAACCCGCCTCGGCCGCTGCCCGCGCCGCAGCGAGAGCTCCGACTCCTCGTATGGGGGATGTCACGGGAAGCAGGGACCCTTGCAGAATGTAGGGTTTAGGGTTACGGGGTTTAGAGTTTAGGGTTATGGGGTCTCGCAGCACTAGACTAGGGGCCCTTGTATTATTAGGGGAGCCGAGGGTGGTATTTTGCTCAAGAACTCTCCGATTCAAGGGTCTATGTTGCAACTGGAGTCGCTTATCATGATCAGCCACTCCCAGAGCTACCTTCACTACTTTAGAACTTAGCCCATCTGAATGTTGCAAGGGCTTCGTTTTTGGGGTTCAATTGGGACTTTCCGAAAATAGGGGGTACCTTATTTTGGGGTCCTTATTATAAGGATCCTATTATTTCGGGTACTATATTAGGGTCCCCTTTTTTTTGAACCCGTACTGAGGCCGATGCGTGTGACGGGAGCAAGAGCGTTCTCCGAACAGCTCACATACACAGAACTCTCAGGCATCAGATGCCAGATGCGCAATCTGCACGACCCAAGTCGAAGGAACAACACTAAAGGAAACCAGAAGCCCTCGACTGCCGGGTGCCCCTGAAATACTCACCTAAAACGCAAAAGCTTAAAGCGAAGTAACATAGGAGCCTGACCAAGCAGAACAGGATTTTGGGTGTAGTATAACGCAGGATCAACATATATGGATTATGCAGGGATTTTGGTAGTGATCACTCAGGCTGATGCCTACATTATAGAGACCTTCGCTTAATCTCTGAACCGGGATGAGCCGCGCTCGCCGATGAAACACGGCCCGTCTCGAGGAGCGCCTCTGCAGGTATGAGCAGCTTTACGGATCCCCTAAACCCCTTTTTGCCTCCTACATGGCTGAGCGAGTCGCGAGGTAGGGTACAAAGATCCAACAGGGTAAATCCCCTTTAGGGTTTAGGGTTTAGGGAACCCCTAAACCGACAAATCGAGCGTCATGTCCCCTGAACCTTAGACTCTTACTCTCACGAACTTGGGGTCATGTCACTGCGATTTGCAAACTCACAACGATCGGGATGCTCTGAATATGGAACCAGGGTCTGCCCTTGTTGCACCTTGTCCCCAGGCTATACCGTCGAACCCTGAATCGATTTATCAAGGCGCCTATGATAAACCTTATAGCCCGTATGCTTAGCCTTCTTGCACTTGTTCCAGGAACCCTTAAAGGACCCCTATCCTGCTGATTCAGGACGGGGCAGCTTAATATAGGGGCCCTTATAGTTAAAATAGGGCTTTGGGGGCCCTTTATACTGTAAGTAAAACAAGGAACCCCCAAAATGGTATAGGTAATTACTTAAGGCCGTTAAATTGAATCTTTCCACGGCAGCGCTGACAGGCACAGGCTCTCCTAGAAATGTGCAACCGAAAGTCGGACGTGAGCCCTGCACATGATAGGCAGCCAACAGAGGGGCCAGAATAACTAGAAGTTGAATGTGGGTATTCAATCGTATTCCATGGTATGATTATATAGGGAGTATCATGAGACACCATTACTACTTATTCCGGACTCTACATTCCCATATATTCCCATCGATTTCCCAGGTTTTACGCACAGGAAAAGCGAGTTGAATATCCATTACTTGGGAAGGCTTTGCGATGCGGTCCCATGCCTCATGCACCAAACTCGCTTGTTGGTTATAAAGGTTCAGGTTTCGTTTATCTGGAATACTTCTTTACCCGGAGTAAATACCTCACACAACACAACTGGACCTGTTCGCTGCCTCGGTGTATACTGGAGTTTATGCTGACTCACTCGTTTACTTGTGTGTGTCTCGTCGTGATATTAAGTGTCACGGAAGTCACAACAGTCGGCTTCATACGCAAAACGAACATCGCAACGATGAGAACAGTTCTAATCACGTGCTAGCAATGCATGCCCCCGACCCAGTGCCAGCTCTCAAGTTCGAAATCAAAAAATGAGACTGTGCTCTGGGTACGGCGTGCCATCCGAAACCTAGAACCCGAAGCACCTTTTGCAGCTTGGACCGCAAGTCAGCCGCTTTTTCGTGCTTCGGCGGAGCTTGCTTGACCTCTGCATGCTGCAACATGCTAGTAGAAACGTAGCTGTCTTGTTGTGGGGCGAAGAGTGGCACTGCCCAGGGGCTAGATTTTGAGAGCAATGCTCTGTAAGCTGTAGCTGTATGTGCGTGTAAGCATCGAGTAGAGGGTTCATATGCCTGGCATGAACTCGGGCTGCTACGCCCTAAACCCTAAACCCTGAACCCCTAATATTGCAGCCACAGTAGAACCCGAAAGCCCTAAGATCCTAAGACCCTGGAGCAACAAGAAAAACAACCATGTTTAGCCCCAAAGGCAGCCTCGACGAACTCCTCTCATATCATGCGAACCTTTAGGTCATACAATATGTTTTTGAACGCGTGCTGCCAAGACTTGATGGCTCAAACAGTTTATGGGGCTTAGACCCTCCAACTCGCATCTCAAAATCTTAATCAACCCAGACGCTTTTACTGCGATAAGCTCTTGACACTTGACACCGAAAGCTCAAACCGTGACAAAGCAGCTTTAATCCCTCTGACGAAAAGGCAACTATGGAAAGCACCCAAACTAGGGCCAAACTAAAGCCCTAAAGCCCTAAGCCCTAAACCCTAAACCCTAAACCCTAAACCAAAGACCTTAAAGGGGGGGCTTGAGGTCTCTAACCCCAAACCCCCAAATCCACAGAGACCAGACATCCCACTCTTCTACCCTTAACGGTCTAACACCTCCCCTACAGGGGCCCTTGTAACCACAACGCCTATAAAGCTTTGCGAGACCGTAAACCCAAACCAAGCCCTTCAAAACCGCTACTTGAACCGCACATCCCCATTCCTTACAAAAACCTTTGTAAGACCTTATACAACCCTTTTTGAACCCTAAACCCTAAACCCTAAACCCTGAACCCCAAAACCTTTGTAAGACCTTATACAACCCTTTTTGAACCCATGAGTCGAGCCGTATAATACGCCATAGAGCCCTTACCGCTAAAATACGAGCAACTACTTAAACCCGCAAGTGATTAAAGCTCGAAAAGCCATCGGAAACAATATAGAATCATACAGAACCTAAACCTATAAGTTATACCCTAGACCTGAAACCTCCAAAATCCTAACCTACCGTCCAGTATCAGGGGAATTTAAAGCTTAACCTTCGGGATTATAAAGGGGTTAGAGTACCCGAAAAAAGGTTCACGGTTACCTACTCTACTTCTAGGCTAAGGGCCCCTAAGCCC